AGGTCCCAGCAAAAAAAAAAAAAGAAAAAAAAAAAAATCTGAAAAAAAACTACGTTATGCAGAAAAATAAACTGAACAACTTTTGCCTCCGGGTCACATCGAAATTCTTCACCAAATAAAAAATAAAAAATAAAATTCAAAAATGTTTTATTTATTTTTATTTTTTAAAATTATTCTGGCCCGGCCGGGCGAGTGACCCCGGGCCACTCTGGTAGCCTAGCGTATGAGTGAACAGGCAGCCCGGCATATAGTTTTTTCATGGGAGCCTCTCTCCCTCTCTCTCTCTCTCTCTCTCTCTCTCTCCGCCGCCCCGGCATGTAGTTTTTTTCTTTTTTTTTAAAGGCTAATTCTTTTAAGCCTAACCAATTCAATTACCCGACGAATCTGGACAGGACGGCCTTTCAGGCCTTTTTTTTTGTCATTATAGTATTACGGGGAACCCCGTAGCAGCCACATCCGTGCTCAAGCCTCCAACGAGGGAACATGCGGGAGCTGCACCCACTAGCAGGTTTGTCATTATAGTATTACGGGGAACCCCATAGCAGCCACATCCGTGCTCAAGCCTCCAACGAGGGGACATGCCGGAGCTGCACCCACTAGCAGGTGCGATACCTGCTACAGCAGGTGGGCGATACCGGCCAGGGGTCAGGCGGTAGCATCAGGACCGACAATCTTCGATGGGCCAGTCACTGTGTCTCCCCTCCGGTCCCCTCCCCCTATGAACATCAGCAGTCTCTGCTCAATGCCACTCGGGGGGACCAAGGGCATATCTCTAGGTGGCGGGCGCCAAGCTTGCCCAGGAAGGTACATGAGGCCAATGGAGATTGAACCCAAGACCTCCTGAATGCCACTTGCATGCCTTACCAACTGAGCTAGGCCACTGGATCTCCCCGGCATATAGTGATTACGTATACGCATTGTGAAATGCATGGGAGCCTGACATTGTCAAGGAATCGCAGATTTCGGGAATCACCGGAAGTCGAGGGAGGTGGGTATGCAGTCTGCGTGACGCAGCGAACATTCAGCGACAACACTGAAGAATACGTAGCCTGAATAAATAAATAAATAAATAAACGATAAACGATAAATAAAGGACGGGATCGGCAGAGTGGTCGACTTGCGAAATGCGTAGGCATGCGATGTGCTTCCGGAATTCTACGTAACGGAATGGGAATGGTACCATAAACGATTCACGGAACTGCTTTGTAACGGTGTTGGGAATGCTACGTTACGAGAGAGGAACATAGTCATTACGTATACTCGTTACGTATACGTATCGTGAAATGCATGGGAGCCTGCCACTGTCAGGTATCGTGGATTTCGGGAATGACCGCAAATTCAGGGAGGTGGGCATGCAGTCTGCGCGACGGGACGAATAAATGAATAAATAACCAAATAAATAAATAAATAAGCAATAAGCAATAAGCAATTGCATGAGACAATCCCACAAGTAGCATGACCATGACCGACGCGTTGGGAAGGAGATCATTTGGGCATCGGGGGCCAGGGCACTATTATTTTTCGTTGACATTGGGAAGGTATCGGGATCTCTGTATTCTTTGCATCCAGCATTTATTAGCGGGTAGAGGAATGGGGTGCCGCCGTTGGTATCGCTGCGGCGATAGTCGAAGAGGGGAGCATCTGCGCCACTCGTGTCGAGGGGGAAATGGGGGAAGCGTGATCACATTCTGGGGTCGGAGATGCACGAGGAAAATGAGGGCATTGTGGGGTCGGAAATGGGGGAAGCGTGATCGCATTGCGGGGAAATGGGCGAAATGGGATGGGGATGGTACGATAAACGATTCACGAAACTGGCCTTGAGGACAGTCGTGTGGTGATGGGAATGCTACGTAACGGGAGAGAAGCATAGTCATTACGTATACTCATTACGTATACGTATTGTGACATCTATCCGACCGTGACACTGTCAGGGAATCGTGCATTTTGGGAATCAGCGCAAATTCAGGGAGGTGGGCATGCAGTCTGCGCGACGGGACGAATAAATGAATAAATAAGCAATATGCAATTCCATGAGACAATCCCACGAGTAGCATGACCRTGACCGATYTCCCTCATTGACGTGGGGAAGGTATCYGGATCTCGTATTTTTTGCATCCAGCGTTTATTAGGGGATAGGGGAATGRGGTGCCGCCGTTGGTATAGYTGCGGCGATAGTYGAAGAGGGGAGCATCTGCGCGACTCGTGTCCAGGGGGAAATAGTGGAATRAAGCTACTAGTGCCTGGCAGACTAATATTGGCTAAAGTAAAAAAACAGGAAAATAGTAGAGAAGATAGGCATTGTACTGACTAAACCTCCATAATATTTAACAAGTCGGGTTTTATGCCGGCACACGGACAAAAAAGTTTAAGGCATTCCCGAATTTTCTTGGTAGAGGCAACTTCGTTGCACTTAGGATCGCCTGTATTAAGGGTCTTTGTTTTACATTATCAGTAGAAGTGGATTCGAACCACTGACACAAGGATTTTCAGTCCTTTGCTCTAACCAACTGAGCTACCTAAACAAAAACAAAATCAAACTCGGCCGTTGAAAGTAGCTTCTGTTTATTAGCGGATTTCCCCATTAGCGGATTGTCTTGACTCATTTACTTATCATTGGTGAATTTGAATGCACGAAATGTGACACCTCTGCTCGTTCCCATTTCTCATATATACGTTAATGTGAATGCACTATGAGCGCTCTGAAAGAACTCGATCCATTCTTCGATGACTATGGTAATTCTACTGCATAATTCTTAGACTTTATTGCCACGGAAATGTGCTCTCCATTGCCATGTGGACCTACCACTTCTCGTCACCCATGATGTTCATGCCACGCTGTGGAACCTTTCGCTTATATCTTACCTGCTTCACCTTTCTCCATTAACTATTCATTGTCCTGTCTTCAAATGTCAATGCAATCGACAACAATATTCAGTACAACTAAAACACGCGGGCGAAGCCGCGCTGGCCACATCTTGTTGGGATTCAGACATTTGACGAGGGAGGGATTATTTGGGACCTGTACCGAAGACTTGGTGTTGACGGCATTCCCATCTTCCCCTCTTCTTCGTCTAACCCCCCTCTTCTTTGTCTGTGTATGGTTGGGGACTGGCGCATTCTTCCTGTGTGAGCGTCAGGCCCCTTCACACCATGGAATGATGATGATGTATGTCTGGTCTGCATTGCAACATTGATTGTTCGGATCATTGGTATTTAAGCCTTCCGCTGTGCTATCTTGTACTATGTGAGAGAAGTCGGTTCTTGTTCTGGTCTGCACCGTTGCGGTATGCGCCTCTTCTTCCCAAATTCGGGGGACCGTAGCACAGGTTCCTGAGGGCTATCGGTAGCACAGTGGGGAGAACCGGTGGAGTGGCAAAAATGGAAAAAGCGTCAAATTGCCACCGCAATTTATTTCGCGGTTGAAACAATTTTATTATTATTATTTTTCCCCCTGGAAAGATCACGACCAAATTTACGGACCCTCCAATTTTCAAATTTCTTGATGTATTCTTTTGAGCCTGAAAAATCGCTGGAGTTGGGGTACTTTTCCCGTTGGCCCACACGTGGTAGAGCGGCAAAAATGGCAAATGAGACGAATCGGCACGGCATTTATTTAACGGTCGTCGGTCAATTTATTTTATTTTATTTTTTCTTAAACATTTTCGGTGGAAAGCTCACAACCAGATCTACAGACCCTCTAATTTCAGAGCTTTTGCCAGCCTTTTGAGTCATTCTTCTGTGCGCGAAAAATTGCATAAGTTGGGGTACTTTAAACTACCTTTTCCATTGGCCCACACATGGTAGAGTGGAAAAAATGGAAAATGCAACGAATCGGCACAGCATTTATTTCACAGTCTATTTTTTTTTCTTCATGTTTCTGATATTTTTCATGGAAAGATTACAATCTAATCTACACGACCGCAAATTTTCAGATTTTTTCGTCAATTTGTTTGAGTGCGAAAAATCGCCARAGTTGGCGCTTGAAAATTGTGGGACTGGACCCGCCTGTGCCTGCAGGTCGCCCCCCCCCCCCCGTAAAACCCGGTCCGCATGGCCAGGAAGCCGAATTTCCAACGTCGGGGGCAGTGGTGGCTTAAACCTTTTTCTTTCTGGTACTTCGTCATGTATATGCAACAAATTGTTCGGTGGTCATTGTAACTTTTCTGATTAACAGGCAGAGTCTGATGCAGGTTGGTTAAGTTAATTGCACGGGCATTTTACGATGATGAGATTCCTCCAAGGCCAGCTAACCGTCCAAAGTCAGACAAGTCCGACAACAAAGGAATTGCAGTGGTTATTTTGGATGCACTTACCAGGTAACGTCTCCCTTTCTTTTCCCAGCTATGCAATGCTTTGCTGTGCTATGCTATGGATATGCTGTGTGCAATGAGGCCACTATGTCTCCAAAACTCGTCAGCAGTAGACAAGATCACAAAGCATTCATGGATGAAGAGACAACTGCAAAACCCGAGGGAGATGGAGAGAAGAGAATGAACCCCATGGCTACAGGAACTGAGATTTTCAGTTGCGTCATGAAGTCCAAAGGAGGTCTGCAGAATTTTCACATTTGCGCAGGAAGGATTTGCCCTTTGCCTGGCCGCTAACTTATGACACCAGATTGGTACCTATGCCATTGCATCCGAGGCCTGCGATGTGCCATGAGAATATGTGCTCGCCGCTGCTCGTGGCAGATCTCCACCCTACGCCTGTATTCAGCAACCTGCAGCATACGGTGACCTTTCGAAATTTCTAGCTGCACAGTGAGTTTCCAATGAATGCATGCAGTGCCTGTGGAAAAATTTGGAAGGTCAACTTGTGTGATGATTTTCTGAATGTTCTGCTCTCTAGCCCACAATCTCGTGCAACAATATCTCCGAACATTGCCACTCACTACCCTGCAACCCCTTTGGAAATCCACCCACAAGTTTTGGGATGCCACTGTGTGCAATGGTTTTCCAAGTGCCGGCACTCTGTAGCCTGCAACCACGTGCAGGATTTTTTTAACGTTGCCACCCACTACCCAACTGTCGCCTCCAACCTCAAAGACTTCTCCGAATGTTGGCGCATCTGTACTAGTCCACGTCCGTCCTCGCCCCCGCGTCCCCCGTCCCGCCCTGTTCTTATTCTCCCACATGGTGAAGGGCACTTGTGCATAACACACGCATTCACAGACGGGCACTCCTGTGATAGATGGACAGATTGGATGCAAGGATATCTGTGGTGAGGAATGGATTGCTAAAAAGAGCTTGATGGCAGGAGGAATGGAGGGATAGGTTGGATGTATGGCTGGCTGGATGGACCTGTGAATTGAAAGATGGCCAGCAAGGGAGGGAGGGAAGGAGCTTCACCTGGCAGGTACTTTTGACTTTCCGCCCGGCATTGAGTCTGGCTACTGTGCCTTGCGCCCAACCTACAGTCTCAAGGTACCTCCTATTCTCCACCTACAAGCATCAACCCAGGATATTAATTAGGCTTACCATGGCCCCTCTGTTGTTTTATGTTTTTTCTGTCATTCTGATTCACCATCAAATGAACTGAGCATTGAAATTGATAATGTCTTTGCAGACGGGAATGGGTAAAGGAAGAGGACTTGGCTCGTCAGCTATGCATTCACCCAAAGCAACTGCGCCGAACTCTCCGGGTTTTGGAGGAGGAAATGATGGTTATCAGAGAACATCGAAGGGAGGTCCGTCATTTTTCCTCTCCTTTTTGTCCTGTTTCTCCTCCTCTGTCTTCGCCTTCTTCTTCCTTCGTCTTCCTTCTTCTTCCTTCTTCTTTTTCGTTCGTTGTTCTTCGTTCTTCGTTCTTCCTTTCTTCTCCTCGTCCTCATCCTTGTCCTCGTTCTTGTTTTTGTTTCTTCTTCTTTCTTCTTGCTTCTTCACCAGGTTTCTCCCTCACTCTTGTTGTGTTCTCATTGTCTGCCTCTTTCTCTGTGCCTCCATTTATTTCTGCTACCTCGGTTCGTCCTGTTAAGTTTGGCATATGTCCATGCTGAAGGATCGACATAAGGCCATCCGCAATCCCTATGGCCCATCACAACTGTGTGATTAAAGGATTATTAATTTATTACATTTGTCTCAGAATCTAAGTCCCAGAGTCCCATGTACCAAAGTCCCAACCGGTAGGTCCCGTTTGCTGTTTCCATATGGTAATCCTGCAGGTTAGGTAAATCCAGTAGGCCCAGGTTGTTAGTGGTATGTTGGTTTGTCAATTGAGTTGCAGCTCACTTCCAGGGAAGTTTGTGAAAACCCCTGAAAGCGTCGGAAACTGACCTTGGTCGACAAGGAAGGGTAGCGGTCTGGAGACGTCCAAGATTGGGAACTGCAGCAAGTACAAACGTCTGGTAGCCGCGAGGTGTCAACACAATTTGCATTCATCCCTGTCACGGAAGCGCTGTTGTGGTCTTGTGTGGTCAAGCGGCGAGTAAGACTGAGGAAGTGGTAGCCATTAGTGCCTGGCGCGATAGTGTAGTAGTACTACAGACGGAGAGAGAGAGTGACATCGAGCGCGAGGAAGACATTCAGAAAGAGAGGGAGAGGTCTCAGGATAGAGTAGGTAGATCCCACATGGGCCCTCTAGGTGCGACAGTGCACCAGCACGGGCCCTGGACCGCATGGCCTAGGGGCACATTTCTTTGGGTGGTCCTCTGGCCACGATCATCTTCAAATCACAGTAAGGCACCCCCCTTTAAACCCTTTAGCCCCTTTAAAGTTCATTTATACTCCCCTTCCCCCCCCTTGACAGCCAACACTCAAAAAAAGAAAAGAGCCCGGATTTGGGCTCCTCTCGGAGAGCGCGAAAACCCCCATCGCCAATTTTTTTTTTTTTTTTTCCCCATGCCTGGGTATCCCGGGCGTCAGACCCCCCCGGGCGTCACGGCAGGGTGACCGGCCGGTCATGAAAATCTTCCTAGCTGAAAACAGTGAAAGTGCATTTGTTTTTTTTTTCTTTTTCTTTTTCTTTTTTACCCTGTTTTAGTTTTGGTGTCTGCGTGTGCCATGTTTGGTGTTTGTTGGGGTCTTGGAGATGACTGTTTTGGCCAGTCCTGAAAATCCTGAAAAACTGAAAAGAGCGAATTTTGCATGAAAACACACTTTTGCCTTGGGGTTTTAGGCCCCTTTGATCCATTTTTCTACTTTTTTTTTTGCTGTTGGTTTATTTGGTGTCCACTCTATGGACTGGTGACAAGTCTGGCTTTAAAGGTGTGGGGCGTTTGTCATAATGACCCTGTAAAAACCCTGAAAATTTAGGGCTCTGTTAACCTCTTCTCACACGCAGGCAATCACAAAGCTGTTATGATCCTGGCCAATTTCGAGATACACATTCATCAGATAGTATAATGCCGTCCAATTGCAGAAAGAAATGAATGAGCTTGAGAGGAGAGAGAGCGTAAGAAGAAGAAGAAGAAGAAAGAAAGAAGAAGAAGAAGAAAGAAAGAAGAAGAAGAAGAAGATGTACACCAGCATAGACAAATGACAAAGCTCTTCTTCTTCGCTCAACACTCTCCTCCTCCTTTACTCCTCCTCTCTTATTCATACAAGAAATAATAATACAATGTTGAATGGCTGATCCAAAATCATGTCCGTGTTCCTCTTCTACTGCGGGTATCACTTGAGGTCCACCATAGCCATGGCCGCCTCCCTCACTCTTCACTCTCATAGGCCGAGGCTATGGCGGACTACCGGGCCTTGCCCTGATGCCCAAAGGACAACCCAAAGCAGCTATGGCTGCTCTAGCTCAGGCCGCCATGCCTGGCTCTGCCTTAAAGCTTCTTGGTGTAGCTCTACCCTGGCTGGGGTCTCCCTGCTGCAGCGCCCACCAAGGTGATGAAGATGACTGCCACCATAGCCAGGTAAGTGTTACGAACTTGGTTGTCTGACGAATGTTATCGCCACTCACACACAGACAGTCTCATACATGCCCATACATGCACAAGAGATGGGGAGAGAGGAGACAGAGTCCACACTGCACACAAGTGAAGATAAACAGTGGAAGACAATTATGCACAGCAGGGGAGAAGACACACAATATTTCTCACTCTCTGACACAACTCCCAACAACCAATCACAAGAAAGAACCTGCGAAGATCACAATTGAAACCCACACTGATGATGAGCCACTCAAA